TAAAAAAAATGCCGTCCGCCGATCGCACCTCCCTCCCCCTGCCGGGAGAGTGCCTCTGCGCCGCCTTTTCTCTGACCGGCATCTTCGTCGCCCTGTGGCTCCTGTCCGCCCCTGGCGCCCCGCCGCCCAGCCACCCCATGCGGCTGCGGGGCCCGTGGCACGAGGGGAACATCACGTAAATGTGCTACGAGTGCTACAAAGCTCTTTGGGTAAATGGGAAAAGTGAAGCTCTTCCCGACCGACGAGTACACCTCAAAACAGCCACGCGACCCGATCGTTCCCCGCGTGCCGTGCACTGGTATTTTTCTCGGGCCTTCGAAATCGGGAAAGACGGTGGCTCTCATCAGCGCCATCCTGGACCAGTACTTGACGGCCGGCGGTGAGTCGGTCTTTGAGCGCATCTACATCTTCAGCCCCTCGATCGAGATCGACGACTCCTGGAAGCCCGTGAAGGACTTCATCGAGCGCCGCATGGGCGTGAACACGGAGCGGGAGCAGGTCTACTTTGACAAGTGGGACGAAGCAGCCCTGCGCGGCATCATCGAGCAGCAGAAGAAAATCACACGCAAGACGAAGGAGCTTGGCTTCAAAAAACTCTATGAAATCCTCGTCGTGATCGACGATTTCGCGGATCAGCCGGAACTCCACCGGCGCACCGGCGACGGGGCGCTGGACACGCTCTTCATCCGCGGGCGCCACATGCAGATCTCCACATGGGTGTCCAGTCAAAAACTGCGGCTCATCAGCGCCGCCGTGCGCGTGAATATGCAGTTCATGTGCGTCTGGCGCCTCCGCAACCAGCTCGAGCTGGAGGCCGTGCTCGAGGAGCTCACGGCGCTGCTGCCCAAACAGGAGCTGCAGGCCATCTATCAGGAAGCGACGCGGGAGCCCTATAGCTTCCTCTTCATCCACTACCTGAAGCCCCGGGCGGAGATGTTCTACAAACGCTGGGAGGAACGCTTCGTCATCGAAAATGGGGAACCTGCTGAGCCAGATGGCGGGCAAGCTCCTCGGGGGCGGGCCGGTCTTGGACAGTGAGTGCCACTGCTGCAGCAGCACCCGCGTCGTAGACCCCGCTGGCCCTATCCCGAGCGGGCCCGGCAGATCAGCGACTCCACGGCCTCCGAGAAGTCGACGGGGCGGAGTTTCTTCC